GCCTGAAGCCAATCAGAATTCGACAACTTAACCTGAGAAATCCGCCCTGGTTTTATAAAACCAGGCACTTAACTTTCCAAAACCACCCACCACTGTCTATGGTTGGTTCACAACTTATTCTATAAGAAAAATGCTATTCTATAAATGTTCATGATTTTGTGGACAGCATCCTGTATCACAACTATCTTCACCATTTGGAAACAACAAGGAAACCATTAATCCTCTGAGAAAAAATCTCTCTTTCTCTTTCTATTTCTATTTCTATTTCTCGTTCTTTCTCTTTGTGGAAAGAAGGAAAGAATTTCAGGGTTTTCCTTTTCTGGGTTGTTGGTTTTCTTTTTTTGTTTTTCTCAATTTATTTCTTTGGAGTTTGAGTTGTTTTCACAAAGGGCAATTGGGGCTAATTGTGTTCAACAAATGGAAACAACAAGGACACCATTAATTTTCTGAGAAAAAATCTCACTTTTTTTTTTCTCTCTCTTTCTTTCGTTCTCTGGAAAGAAAGAAAAAGATTTCAGGGTTTTCCTTTTCTTGGTTGATTTTTGCTTTTTTAATTTATTTTTTTGGAGCTTGGTTTGTTATCACAACTATCTTCACCAAATGGAAACAACAAGTAAACGATTAATTCTCTGAGCAAAAAAAAAACTCATTTTCTCTTTCTCTCTCTGCAAAGAAGAAAAGGATTTCAGGGTTTTCCTTTTCTGGGTTGGCTTTTCTTGGGAATTTGGTTGGTGGGAAAAACAGAAGGGGGTGAGAGATGGGGAGAGGAAAAGTACAGATGAAACGTATAGAGAACAAGATCAACAGACAAGTGACGTTCTCGAAAAGAAGGTCTGGATTGTTGAAGAAAGCTCATGAGATCTCTGTGTTGTGTGATGCAGAAGTGGCTGTGATTGTCTTCTCTCACAATGGAAAGCTTTTTGAGTACTCCACAGATTCTTGGTAAGTTTTTATATACTTTGTGCATTTAATATTGTGTCATCTCATACCATATTTATCTCGATCTGGCAATGAAATTATATAGATATTTCACTGAAGTTTTCAACTAGGGTTTTTTTTTTTTTTCCATGTTTGATTCTAGAGTTTCTTTTTGGTTACGATCTCTCTCCTAATATTGTTTTTATTATCTTCATTTTTCTCATGGTTTCTCCGAAGAATTTTATGTTGATGTAGTTCACGAAAGTTATCATTCTCTTTTGCTTAATGTTGTTTATGCTAAGATCTTCTTAGGTTTCAGTTTCAGATACTGTGTGATATTATAGTGACTAATACTAATGCTAAGATATCTCCCCTATGCCACAAACGAAAGGCAGATTATTTTTCTTTCAAATAATATTTTAGCTTGAGTAAGTATAACGTGTTAGAAAAGAGGAATGCTAAATTGACCAAAAAATAAAATAAAAAACAAGTATCACTCTGTACAAAAGAAAAAAGTATGTGTACACTACTCTAGTTAATCCGAATTCTATGAAAAGTATAGGTTTTGAGTCGGTACTTTTCTTGAATCTAGACATGCTAGAGTTAATGTTGATCAAAAGAAACAATACAAAGACCGTTTCAAAAGGCAAGATCTGTACCAGTCTTGCTCCAATAAAGCTTCTATTCTAAGCAGTTATTAGGTTAGTTGTCATTGTTGGATGATCATCTAATTTTGACTTGAATTTTTGAACCTTAGAGATACCATTCTTGTCCTGATTGTTTGAAGTATCAGGTGAAGAACTGACTTAAAGTCCTTTGATTATTTTAGCATTAGTCATAAGAGAATGAGGACATCTCCAGTTTTCTTGACATGATTTCTTATTACGGCAAGAGCTCGGTACAAAATTAATGGTGAAAATTGAACTAAATTGATTAGTTCCTATCACGAATCATAAAATTAAACGACTTGCCAACAAAAATAACAAATAAATAAAGTTGGCGTAAAACACTAATAACTTAATTTTGACATGATTAACCCACACAACTTACATGATTNCCTATCACGAATCATAAAATTAAACGACTTGCCAACAAAAATAACAAATAAATAAAATTGGCGTAAAACACTAATAACTTAATTTTGACATGATTAACCCACACAACTTACATGATTTTTTGTAAAATTAGAGGATATTTTATTTAATGTTATTATTATATTGATTTAGTGGATTTTATTTTATGAAAAAAAAATTATAAATTATAATTTTGATTGAGAGATAAAAATGTTTTAGCCTTGAATTTTTTTATTCAAGAATTACATAGATCAATTCAAACAAGCTACGATAATAAACAGATAAAATAAGTATAAAAATATTTAATATATTTTATTAAATTAATTTAAAATTAATTAGTCCTCCATCCAAACTAATACTTTTTTAAGGTTAGGTTAGGACAAAGCTTGTTTCTCTGAAAAATCATTGATCCTGAAGGAACTTGGTTATATTCATTAGGGTTGAGAAATGGTGTAATAATGTTTGGTTTGTAATTTATTATATGATCATGTTCCCGATTATTGGGACATTAACCAAGAAAAGTAATGATGGGATTAGCTTATTTGATGATGGTGGAAAAAAGTAAAACTGGAAATGGTGGTATTAGGGTGTGTTTGGTAATTTAAACAAAATGACAAAAGACTTGAACATGGACTGAATGAGTCAGTGACAAGGAAGTGACATGTCCACTGTTGTATATTATTATTATTTACTCTGTGCAATTATCTTCTTCCTAGTGATGGATCCACCTGAAAAGACTTTTGAGCATGGAAGTGACATGAAAAGTGCCATTAATCCCCCAAACCATTAAGTGAAGTTTTGACTAGTTTAACCCCCCCCCTGACCATTCGGTATTGTACCATTTATCATTTTTTTTAATTTTTTAAAAATAATTATTCAATGTCTTTAATATTTATATAAAAATATATAAATTATTCATATTACATCATAATAAAGTAAGATATTTGTATATTCAAATTCATAAAATATAAGATACCATGATTCTAATCCATTGATAGAACTAATCTTAGCTATTATAGATCCAAGACACCACCCTGCTACACCGAGATGTACTAAAGAACACATATTACGTGAAAAATGTTGTTTGGACCTAATTTAAAGAAGTAGTCTAGGGATCAAATCAATTATAACTGTTGAATTAAAAACGAGTTTTATGTAATTTTGGAATTCATAACTAATCTAATAACTCTAATAAATATGGTCGTTAATTAGATTTTTAAATTAAATCTTTCTAACATTACTCTTTAACGTGATCTCTCCAAATCTATAGTTGGAGCAAAAAATTCTAACTCCATTAGTGATGTCTTCTTGTTGTATTGTAACTCAATGACCAGGGGTAAACGGGTCATAATTTTTTGAATAATGTTGCATACATCATTTTTTTTATTTTTTTGCATTATTTTGTGTACCGTATCTCAATATAAATTATTAGATTAATGAATTTTGATGAATTTATCGAATATTTAAAGGTTCAAATTATGCCACGTCAAAGGATATAGGCAAACTGGTGTATAATAATAGTGCTGTCCATTGTATTAGTATTGTACGTTTCTAGCACCACCCAAGTGTTCTTGTCTCGTTGTGGGGGCATCCATGCACAGATGTTAACCAAGACTTATCACTGCCAAAACAGTTGTAAAAGCAACTGTTAGTAATTAAACTACATTTGCAACAGGTGACATTTGAAATGTGACAAGACCATGTATAAGATAGCACTACAGTTTATTTCTTATCTTAGGATAGAACCTATGGTACGGAGTGGTGTGCCGGACCCTAAAATTTTTGGACCGTACATCTCATTTTTTGATTTGTTTATGACCGTTGAATAAAACATTTAAAAAATTATTTTCAATATCTTATTTACACTCTTAATATTAGTTTACAAAGTGGGTTACTTGTTGGAACCAAAAACCTGATGAGAGTCGGTTTTTCAGTGAATTGGATGGGGAGGTTAGTGGTTGGCCGCGGGCTGCCGCCCTTATTGGTGGAGGTTAATGTGGTGGGTTTGAATTTTATCGTTTTTCTCTTTTGTAATATTTGACTCAAAAAAAAAAAAATTGGATGAGACCTGATGAACAACTGTCAGAAAAGCCGACTAGGTCCCCATAGTTTCTAGGGTTCAGTTCAATTGCATTTGGTTTGATAGCTTTTTATCTTTAAAAGTATTATTCTTCTCTTTGCCCCATGCATTGGATGACTGAAAGCCTAAAACTATATTCTTATTTTTTGGTTTAACGGTCAAAGTATTCAAATTAGTTTACGCTCACTTCGATTAATTCCCTCTCTANTTGGATGACTGAAAGCCTAAAACTATATTCTTATTTTTTGGTTTAACGGTCAAAGTTTTCAAATTAGTTTACGCTCACCTCGATTAATTCCCTCTCCAATATAATCAAATGCAGACCATCCACGCCAAAACTAGGATGAGAGATTTTATTCCTCATGATCTGACCCTAAAGAATTATTAAGATTCAAACATAGGACATTTGAATTTACAATTCTTCATTTTTACCACTTAAATTATCTTGGGAGTTAGATGCTTGAAACTATCACTACGCAAGAACTTGAACCATTCACCTTTCTAATCTTAATTTTTCAATGCCTTCACCATATCACTCTGACTAGTTATCAAAAAAAGAAGCCTTCGAAAAAGCATCTAGAATATCATATGATAGCATTCTGATAATCATCTAGAAGAAATTTTCTTCCTTGTTCTTGGTGTAACAGATGATAGCGTTCTGATCATAATCATCATCAACTTCATTGATCATTTAGAAATTAACCCTTTTTTTTTCATTCTGCAAACAGTATGGGGAAGATCCTCGAGCGGTATGAAAGATATTCTTATGCAGAGAGACAGCTAGTTTCAAATGATCCTGGATCACCTGTATGTCCTATACCTTGATCGAAATTAATACGAAACACAAATTTTTTTCATAATTATACTAGTGCCCAGAATTTCTGAAATCTGAATCAATTTGCTTGTTTGAGGATCAGTATGATTAATATGTTTCAACATTTGTACTGGTTTTGTTGTATCATGTTTGAACTGTGCAGGGTAACTGGACGCTGGAATACACCAAACTTAAGGCTAAGATTGAGCTTTTACAGAGGAACCATAGGTAAGAACTTCATTGCAGGACCAAAAAATATGCATTAAATAGAGGAAAAGACTACAGTACCCAAAAAAAGAGTTGATACCGCATCTTTAAATTTTATAACTTTTGTGGATTTTGATACAAGTTTTTGAGTTTGTTTATAACAAAAAAATTTACAAATTTTCGGAGCATATTACTAGTTTTGACGCTTTGAGTTACACATTTGTTGGGCTAACTTGCGATTGATCCTAAAAATTTTAATATGACCCAAAATTTTACGAATTTTTTGGTTTGTTTACAATAAAAAAATTACAACTTTTTGGGTCATATTACAATTTTTAAGGCTTGAGTTACACATTTGTTGGGCTAACTTGCCATTGATCGTAAAAATGTTAGAATCAGTGGTAACTTGCGATCGATTCTAAAAAATATTAGGATCGATCACAAGTTATTATAAAAGGGCTAAATAACCCTCAAAAGTTATAAAAAAACTTGTAACGGTACATTGCCATTTTTTTTCCTTTTTCTGTATTAGTAATTTCTTTGTTTTATTATTAGACATATTTTTATTGCATTGTCCTTGGTTTTATATATCCATAAACCATTTTATTAGGCACTATATGGGGCAAGATCTGGATTCATTGAACCTCAAAGAGCTTCAAAATATGGAGCAACAGCTCGATACTGCTCTCAAGCACATAAGATCAAGAAGAGTAAGCTTATAGTGTTTGTTGAAAGGCTGCACTAAATTTTATTATAGGTTTGGGTTTGGTTTGTTGACAAAAAAAAAAATTCTTCTTTTGCAGAATCAACTCTTGCATGAGTCAATATCTGAGCTGCAGAGAAAGGTATGGCCTTATGGCACTTTGGACCTTAATGCTTTGTTAGTAAAAAGATAGAAAGTCGAAAAGATAAAATATCACATTTAATAAGAAATAAAAATATGAATGATGGAAAAAGCGAGAGAATTAAGTTTCCTTCCAACTTATAAAACCTCATCCCTCCAAAATGAGGAGGAAAATTGGATGAAAATTTAATTATGTGTGTTTAAAGGTAAGTTATTTACTTTTATATTACTTAGTATATGTATATATCATATGCATCTTAGCATCTATATATACTTTTTTTTTCTTCTGCTTTTTTATCTATATCAAACAAAAAATAATAATAATCCTTACTACTTTTCATTCCTCTTACCAAACATTAATGAGGGAACAAATGATTACGTTCTTAAACGATAGAAAGTATATAATTCTTATTTTTATCCTTTGATCTTTTCATCGACCCTACCAAACACAATCACTTATCAGGAGGCTATTATTTGGACCCCATTTTTACTGCATGTGAAAAATTATGGGAAAAATATAATGAAACTATGAAGAAAAAAAAATGGAAATATCTGCTGTGTATTGTAAAAATTCTTGTGTTTTATGACAGGAGAAAGCAATTCAAGAGCAAAACTACATGCTAGAAAAGAAGGTAAGCCATATTTATAATTATCATCACCACCATCAATGAATAGTCACATGAATTTATGTTTCATAATCTTCACATAAATGGTTCTTGCCATGGTATAGGCTCATTGTCAATCCATTTCAATGTAAAGATGATTTAACACTATTTTTTTTTTCCTTTTTTTTCTTTGTAATTTTTGATTAGATCAAGGAGAAGGAGAAGCCAATGACACATCAAACGTTTTGGGAGCAACAAAACCATGGCCCTAGCTCATCAGCATTCCTCTTTCCACAGCCACTTCCCTGCCTAAACATGGGGTAATCGATCGCCTCTCTTGTACCGCATAATACAAATAAATCTAGTATACACAAATACAATTGTCGATTGGTCTCAACTCTTTTTGCATGTTTTTAACGATATATGACACTTGATTTTGTAAGTTTCATTAACTTAGTCATTTATGATATGTGATACAGTGGAGCTTACCCGGAAGAACCACCAGAAGTTCGGAGGAATGAGCTCGATCTCACTCTTGAACCATTATATCCATTCCACCTTGGATGCTTCGCCGCATGAATGACTCAAACAATGACATAATTGGCTATAGATTTTTGGTTTCTATGTGAATATCCACAAAGTAGATTCAAGTAAGAGAAAGAAGATGGCACCCCGTTATCCTATATGTAAGTGTCTGTCTTTCTTGTTGAAGAAAGAGAACCTTGAGCCATTACTGAAATGTTATGCTTATGTTTCAACTATTTATGCATGTAACCTCTTCCTTATAAAGCAATTTATTTGTGTCTAGTTGTTCTGCATTTCAATTTGAAGACATTCCCAGTTCATTGACAGGTTTGGTTAAAGTTTGGATTTCTTGTTCTTGGCACTGGTAGGTTTGATTAGGGTAAGGAGATTGGAGAAGAAGTAAGGAGAGAAGTTTGTCAATGACTACTTGAAGTGCCTGCAACTGTGACATCCTTTTTGGATGATCCTAACTTGTGTTGTCTTTATGTTAGTTTCCCACCCCACACGAGGGAAAAGCGGAAGTTTATAAATTGGTAATCTATTGCACGAGACTTTCGTCTCTACAAGTGTGCAAAACAAGGTTTATAAAATTGGATATATGGCAAGCATTTGCATTATCCAGTCTTTGTCCATATTTCAATGTAAAAACCCATCTTATAGGAGGTAAAAAGGTTAGACATGGTCCATGCCTGTTCATGCCATAAGCTTAAAAGTCCAGCCCTGATTAGTATTTGAGTAAATATTCAATATAATGGTGACACTACTTTACTATCGTCGTTAGAGGTGTCAATCGTGTCGGGTTAAACGGTTACGTGTCGGGTTAAACGGGTGACGAGTGAAAAACATATAAACCCATACACGACACGTTAAATAAACGGGTAAAAAATCTCAACACGAACACGACTCGTTTAATAAACGGATAACACAACACGACTCGTTTAACCCGTTTAATTTTAAAAAAATTATATCAACAAATTTTAATACTTTATTTTTTTTACTACTAATTGCATTTACCTCAAAAAAAAAAAATTTAAATCAAATCTCATAAAAATAAGACTTAAACTTTAAAAAAGAAGAAGCTAGAGACTATTACCTTTTATATAACTCATCCGTTCCATCTGCCCTCATTTTTCAATGTGAGACAAAAACAAAAGACATTGATTTATCTTTGTCTTTCAAGTGCTCTACAATTCATCTCCTTTGTCTTTAAAAAATAAGACTTGAAAGCTTTAAAAATAAAAGCAAGAGGTTATTGTCTTTTATAGGCAACTCAACCCTCCCTATCTCCCCTCATTTTTCAATGTGGGACAAAAACAAAAAACATTTGTTTGTCTTTGCCTTTGAAGTGCTCTCCAACTCTTCTCATTTGTCTTTGAACTACTATTTTACTTTTTTTTATTGATTTCTTTACTTCTTTTTTCTTGCTAATGTTTTAAAATAATTATTAATTTATTATTATATTAATTTTATTTAAAATAGTAAATGTGTGATAAACGGTTTGACAGGTCTCACTCAAACACGACCCGTTTATTAAACGTGTTTGGCGTGTCAACCCGTTTATCACTCAAACCCGTTAAGATCTCATCCAAACTCGTTTAATTCGTATTGATTAGTGTTGATTAATCGTATCGTGTCGAATTTTGACAACCCTAATCGTCGCGTAACATCACATAATAGACAAATAAATAGGACAAGTGAACCTCACTAATTTTACATGATAGTTAGACAAATAAATAGGACAAGTGAACCTCACTAATTTTACATGATAGTTATTAAATGCGGAAATTATAGAATTTAGTGGGATCTACTTGTCTACATATTTATTCATAATTACTTTGTGATATCATGTAACAGTGATGACGTGGTGNTGATTTATCTTTGTCTTTCAAGTGCTCTACAATTCATCTCCTTTGTCTTTAAAAAATAAGACTTGAAAGCTTTAAAAATAAAAGCAAGAGGTTATTGTCTTTTATAGGCAACTCAACCCTCCCTATCTCCCCTCATTTTTCAATGTGGGACAAAAACAAAAAACATTTGTTTGTCTTTGCCTTTGAAGTGCTCTCCAACTCTTCTCATTTGTCTTTGAACTACTATTTTACTTTTTTTTATTGATTTCTTTACTTCTTTTTTCTTGCTAATGTTTTAAAATAATTATTAATTTATTATTATATTAATTTTATTTAAAATAGTAAATGTGTGATAAACGGTTTGACAGGTCTCACTCAAACACGACCCGTTTATTAAACGTGTTTGGCGTGTCAACCCGTTTATCACTCAAACCCGTTAAGATCTCATCCAAACTCGTTTAATTCGTATTGATTAGTGTTGATTAATCGTATCGTGTCGAATTTTGACAACCCTAATCGTCGCGTAACATCACATAATAGACAAATAAATAGGACAAGTGAACCTCACTAATTTTACATGATAGTTAGACAAATAAATAGGACAAGTGAACCTCACTAATTTTACATGATAGTTATTAAATGCGGAAATTATAGAATTTAGTGGGATCTACTTGTCTACATATTTATTCATAATTACTTTGTGATATCATGTAACAGTGATGACGTGGTGTGGTGTCACAGTTACGTCGAATATTTTCTCTTGCAAGGGGATTACTCATGCACAATGCTGGCACAGAGAGAGAGCTAGCAAGTCTAAATCCACAGACAATGAATTAAATTAATCTAACTGCTCTACCTGCCAAATTAACTACCATACCTGCCTTCAATTACTTCATTCATTATTGGTGGTATCAATGACCGGACTAGACCAATGAAAATGGACCAAGATTTTTATTCATTAGCCAATCACACCTATCCTTGCCTTATCGGAACAAACGCACTCAAAAAGAGAATGTCACATCTGTCTAGATGCTAAAGGAAGAATTGTAAGACAAGAACTAATAGCTACTTAGTTGTCTGTTATGAATATGCCACTTGGAGCTCCCGATGCGAGTAGTGGTCAGTGGCTCCTTCTGCTCCTTAAAAACGTCCAAAAAACCTTGCCACAAAACTACCAAACATGGGTAAAAATATGATAAGTCTACATAACGTTGAGTGTAATCAGACAACCACATAAAACAGACATACTCCGTCTGCACTCCCAATCACTTTTACCAGCCAACAACACTGATGCAAAATGTCCCAAGCTAGGATAGCTCATTAGATGCCTGCAAAGCTTATCAAGTCCGGTGCTTGTCATCATTTTCATTGTGCCTCTTATTTTCTGTATTCTACTTTCTTTGGTTCCATCTTATCGAACACACACACCAACACACACAGAGGCTAACATACAAAGAAGATTGAGCTGAAAACAAAGAATGTTTGCATTATCTGTCATATCTTTCTTCAGTGATTATATATCCATCTTTCACCACCTTGTGACAAATGAACAAGACATCCTCACAATAAAACTAATATGAACAAAAGCACCCTGTCAAAATGTACATGCTACCTACCAACTTGAAAAACCTTTTGTTGCTGATGGGCAAATTCAGTAAGGCTATTGACAAATTTGCAGTTTTCTTTTTTTCTTACAGTTCTCACGTCTGTCTTCAATCAACTTCGCTTCAACTTACGATCAAGTGTTCTCATCAAATACCATCAACTACAAATAAAAAAAAAAGCAAGTTATAGAGAATCAAATGTAATTTAAAAAAATGGAACTCCTATGGAAAACCAGGTGAAAGTGAAATTAGTACTCAACAAAGCACAATCAACAGCCTTTTTTCAGTAGTCTGACCAACATGAACACACTCAACAGCCTTTTTTTTTTTTTTTTGCTAATTTTGAATATCAGTTCTCACCATGACAAAAAATCAAGTGATCGATATTATTCAGACTAGAATTAAAAGGAAAATGAAGAACCAGAAACCCTCTGACATTGACCCATAAGAATAACTTGTAACATCTCGTTTAACAGCCATGACAAGTAGGTGTAAGCACAGACACAGGCATACACATTTATTGTGCTCCCAGATCAGCATTCTCCAGATTTGGCAACAAATTGCACAAATATTACAATGGTGTCTGTGATACAAGGCCTCATATATAATCCACTGATTATATTAGCCATGCAAACAGTTTCAACAAGTGATATGAAAGGATTTACTCATTAAAAATCATAAAATCCAATGCCCTTTTTTGGAGAATGATGATTTGCAGACGCATCCATGCCTCATCATGTATCTAAATCTAAAGATTCATATATAAGAACCATTAGAAATCATCCATGTCCACTTCGAGTCTCAGTTGAAGCCATCAAAATGCATAATAAACCAAATACGCACCTACTACTTAACTATCACGCATTAATGCAATTAGTCTGTATTCCTTGCTTGAATGTAATTATGATAATATTTGGCACATATAGCACCGTGTCAAGCATATCTGCATCATAGCTTCAAGGTTCAGTGTGATTGAAGACACGGACCAAGCTATTACAGGTAAAATACCCACTCTAATTTCCCAACTGCAATAATCTTAAAGCCTAATTGCCATGACGGTATAAATCCTTCCCCTGAACTAAAAGGCTTAATTTTAGAAAACTAACCAGTGTTTCTCAGTTCTTGTGAACTGGACTAACTTGGAGAGACAGCAGAGTCAAAATCTTTTGGTTGTAGGTGCAGCAATAATACGGCGACATAATTAAGTAAGAATCTAATACAAGTATACTGAATAAATAAAGAAGACATGAAAAAATATGTTACCCTTCCACAAACTGGACAGCTATTGCTTCTCTCCATCCACTCATATATACAACCGAGGTGATAATGGTGAGAACATTTTGTATTTATCTTTGGATTTTCGGGGGTGTATTCTGTGAAACGTTAAAAAAAAATAAGGATCAACAAGCCAATACAGTAACAGTTGCTGAAGAATTTAAAAGTTTACAAGCGATTTTAGATTTAGCCTAAACAATAAAGCAACTTAATCCATAACAAGAAGCCCGATTCATAGGGAAAATGCCCCGTAAATTTTAAGATACCTGCAGCATAAAAATAAAAATATAGTTCAAGAGAGTCCAAGAGAGAGGGGTTGGGGAGTCAAATATTACCTTCAAGACATGTCGGACAGACATCCTCATCTTCTGATGAACCATAGAAATATTGACCTCTACTTTCTCCTTTTGCCGACAAGATTGTCAGAGAGGACTCAGAAAAGCATTCTTTTGATCTCCCTTCACGGTAAGATCCAATTGGTTTGTTTCCTCCACCTAATGATTTGAGGTTTGCTTGGACATTGCCTTCTCCAAATGGTTCCGGCTCTACTCGTGAATGACCTGAGCTTTTCTCGTGTCTTGTCACCAGAACATCCTGTTGCAGTAGTGAATGCCTTGGACTTTCACTGTTTGGCAAGGGTCTATTTTGAGCCCTACTAGCTTCAGATGAATTGTTGACTGCCACCATAGAATTTGAAGAGGCTGCTTCATGATTAGATGAAGAGGAAGCATGCATTCCTGCTCTGCCAAATAGAACTCCACACTATAGACAAAAATTATAATTGAAAGTCAGTCCCATAGACTCAAATTAAAGTGTAAATATGAATTAGAAAATCACAATTCCTCAACCAAATGATTAGCCTATCGACAGAACAAACTATGCCATGAATAGTGCATCCGAGAAATTATTGGTAGATGCTACACATGCATGAAAAAGTCAAAAACTAACCATATTTACAAGGATTTGGAAGCATTAAGAGATTGGCATTGATCTAGGAAAATCAAGAGCAGGTGTTTTATTTGCTGATATTGATAGACACCTTAGGGTGTTCAAGGGATTAAGTTGCGAGACGAATGTGCTTTCAGTTGTCAAAACTCACTGACCTCTGTAATGTGAATACTACCATAATATCCAACATTCCTCCCCAAACATCATTGTCTTTGCCAGATCTATGCGGTCAAACTAAAGATTTAACAAAGAGACGTAAAAATGAAAGCTAAATAAGATGTTACTTTTGCCAACACATTTGCATGCAGTGTTTTTTGAAACCAACAGCAAACAGGGTGGAAGAAAGGAGAAGAGTGCTAACTCAAATTGCTCTCAACTGACATTGTTTGAAATTCAGAAGAAAACAGAGTCCACTGAGTATGAACAATTAAGTTCATCTTGTACGTGGATGGATTTAAATATTTGGTCACCCTGAAAGGCTTAAAGCAATGTATACTTGTTCCAAATCCATGAGCACTGAACAATGTGTGGGAAACATCAAGCTCTAATATGACTGTATACAGTTAGTTCAGACTTGAGACGAGCAGACCCCTTCTTTAAAGCTATTACCATAAAATAATATCAAATACTACCAATTGAGATGTGCGTGCCTTCAATTTGAAGTTGTTTAACTAGAAAAAAATTCTCTTCTTTATCTGTAGTAAAAGAGTTATTAACTAACACAACCTCTATTTCAAAGAGTGAGCAAAGGATAGATGCAAAACCACAAATATCCCATCGAGCATCAACAATCATATTCAACTATTGGTGACAATAATCTTATGGTTTTGATGTAACATCGTTTTAATTTTAGAAGTAATAATGCAGAACACCAGCAGAGAGAAAGCACAAACAAGTATCAAAGTCACAAAATATGCATCATGGAGACATGATCAATTCAGATAAATTTCCCTTTCGAACTTGAAAAGAGGAATAATTAACAATAAAATCTAATTAAATAGAAAGAAAATTCTAAGTGTACCTTATTCATTATGTTTTGGACGCAGCAATTTAGACAACTGCAGTTACCATTATTCGGACTATTCGACTCCAAGTTGTCATCAACATCCGGGACATGGAAACAGGAACAAATGGAACCCATGATGCAAGTCAAAATTTCAACATCAACTCAAGACCTCTGCAGTGAATAATTGAATTTCATCAACAAACTAAGAACCCTAAAGAAATCCAAACAAACAACAAACAAATACATAAACAACAGACGAAATATAAGGTCCTACGAACCAATGACAAAACAGACAGACTAATACCACATTCAGGTTTTTTTTTTTTGGTCAGAGACCACATTCAGGTTGATCATCTGAGAATTAGACTACCTCCACATCAAGATTAATCACACAAGGGATTAAACAGTAACAATTGCCGTATAATTAAAACTAAAAAGTTACCCAGGATGAGAAAAACAGCATAGATATGTCACAGACAAGAAGATAAACACCAAGCACAAAATTTATTTTTGGGTAAGCATAGCACAGATTAAACAGCACCAAAGATTCTTCCAAATAATCAAAGTGAAAAACCAATATTCATTATTCATCACCCTAATCATGGTAATTCGTTATACCAACCCATGAACATAAGATCATAGCTTAAGAACAGATAAAAGAAAAAAGACCCAAATAGTGCAAGTTTCAGAGACAATCTCTTCAATTACGAATCAAACTCTTCTTAAAATAAACAGATATATTAAAACATAACATCTCTACATAGTTCTTCATGTAAAGAAACATGTATGTATACATTCGAGGAAAACCCATGAACAAAAAGAATAAGACTGACACACTCTAGAGAGAGAGAGAGAGTACAGCAAGAAAGGGTGCTGACAGTAATGATTGGGTCTTCAACGGAAGACTGAAAGGGACCTTCGATTATGTGGGTTTCTGGGTTTTTTGGCCGAGGTATTATTATATGTGGAGCGCAAGGAATGAAGGAAATACAATCCGTTTTGGGTTTGGGTTTAAGCCGAAGATTTACATTATCTCAGTTTCTACGCAAGAAATCCTATTCCAAATCCCAACTTTAACTCCATTGCTTTGAGGTCAATATCATAATTAGTTTCTAAATTTTATCATCAATTTTATTTTAATTTAGTCATTGAACTTTCAATTATTATAATTTAATTTTTTAATAATTAATTTTGTTTAATTAAGTCTTTTTATTTATTTTCACCATTAGATTAAATGAAGACTAATCATACATGATCCATTAAGCATTAAATCATATGTTTTCGTCTTGATCTAACGGTGAAAGTATAAGAAAAAATTTAATTGAGATAAAATTAATAATTGATGGGCATAATTGGAATAATTGAAAGTTCAATGACCAAATTAAAACTAAAGATAGTTAGGGACTAACTATGATATATATCCTTATTTTTGTTATTTATGAAAATTTTATTTGTGACAAACTATGGAAAATTTCATCAACCCTTCTTTGGTTAGAACTTTTTTTGCATTCCAGTTTGTGAATTGCTAGTGATTGAAATAACTTTTCATATTCTTTATTTTTTTTTTCATATTTAAATTAGTTGAATATAGGATTTTGTGTTATGTTTTTGTATTCCTATTTCAAATACCAAGGCATAATAGTTGATTTATTTTTATAAATTACAACAAATTTCACTTAACATTTATGCTGTTATGACTTTTTTACATTTCAACTCCCTCGTATTAATAAAAAAACATAATAAACCATGTGATTTGCATACCACTAGAGATTAAAAGAGACTTTCGAATATTGATTCTCTGTGTTTCTTTCTCCTAAAGGGTGCATAGAAATTCGAGTATTTTTTGGGTTGAGTTCAAGTTTAAAGATTTATATTATCATGTGCAAGTAATGACTCTTCTATAAAAGTTTACATAATTATCCATCCGCATATTAGTAAAACGAATTATAAATACCCACATAATTGCGATAATAATGTGTCGGGTTGCTTGATAAGTTCCCATGCACTAATCGAAATGTGTTGACCCTTTCGCATGTTGTGGGAAGATTTGAATTTGTTGGGCTTTTCTGGTTAAATGTGATTCGACAATGTTGTTTGAGCAAAAGTTTGCATGTTTCCTATTCATAAAATAAAATCCACAATTCCAAGGGCAAAATGACAATTTACACCCTCAAAATATTTTTTAAACTCTCAATTTATACCCAAAAAGATTAAAATTTGCACATTTCATTCTCAATCAAAGAAAAATGTTGTTGTGTGGCCTATTTTAATACAATTAAGTTCAAAATTTTCATGTAAGATATTTAAAATTGAGTAATATATAAATAATTATATACATTATATACAACAATATGAAAAAATAAAAGCAAAAAAATGGGGTAATGCAATAGACATTTGCTGAACAAAGCCAGATTCCAGAAACTCCTCTTCAGCATGCTCAAGGAATGTCTTCTAAAAGTGGCTGTCTTCTCAACAATGTGTTGTCAAAATCAATTTTGATGGGGCAATCTTTTGCTACTGCAAAATCAGTGGATATTCGAGTGGTAGCAAGAGATTATAATGGGGATTATGCTCAAGGAATGTCTTCTAAAAGTGGCTGTCTTCTCAACAATGTGTTGTCAAAATCAATTTTGATGGGGCAATCTTTTGCTACTGCAAAATCAGTGGATATTCGAGTGGTAGCAAGAGATTATAATGGGGATTATGCTCAAGGAATGTCTTCTAAAAGTGGCTGTCTTCTCAACAATGTGTTGTCAAAATCAATTTTGATGGGGCAATCTTTTGCTACTGCAAAATCAGTGGATATTCGAGTGGTAGCAAGAGATTATAATGGGGATTATGCTCAAGGAATGTCTTCTAAAAGTGGCTGTCTTCTCAACAATGTGTTGTCAAAATCAATTTTGATGGGGCAATCTTTTGCTACTGCAAAATCAGTGGATATTCGAGTGGTAGCAAGAGATTATAATGGGGATTTTGTAACTGAATTATCTAAATTGGTTAATAGCCCGCTTAGTAGTGAACAAACAAAAGTAACGAGATTAAACAAGCTTCTGAGTTGGGTGCTAGTAGAGTGATTATGAAAAGAGACTTTGTAGTCTGATGGGTCAAGCTCAAGAATAATCCAATTTATTTGAAAAATTCAAACTTCAATTAAAGAGTCTAGTTTTATAAAGACCCACTAAGCTCAATATTTTTCAAGTCCAATCTCATCAGTTCGACTACGTCATCAAAAGAGAGAGCACGGGAGCCTTACCTGCACCGCCAAAGAAACAGTCCACCCACACCTTATCGACCGCATCTCATGGAGAGCATCTCAACCACCTCGCCCGTTGAGAAGAAGTCGTGAGTTCCATTGAAATAGTTGCTTAGTTGCTGTAAAATAGTTTCAACCTGTTAGGGGGTTACTATAAATTGCACGCCCCACCAACACTTGGGGGCATCACACTTTACCTAAACACGACTCTTTCATCTCTCTCAAAACTTGTACTCTCTGCTCCCCACACCTTGGAGTTAATAAAGTACCCGGCGATCAGAGTCATTCAAGAGTAGACGTAGGTCGAGTTGAACGAACCACTATAAATTGCTTGTGTCTCCATCTCTTTATTTTAAATTATTACATTTATTTTCAATCACTTGACAGATAATGTGCAAAATTATTTTGTGTATCATCACAGTGCTATAAACCAAAGGGAACCAAACTCTTCAGACGTTGGAAATTTTAATAAACAAATCTAAGTGCATGCAAATTGCTTGTCAGAATTTTCTGTTGGGTTGATTGGACAGACCGGAAATTATGTTGTTAATTCTTTAGCTAAATATGTTTTAAATTGTAAGGGCTTTTTACTTTGTCCATTCAAAAAAGCCTCATAACATGAAGTTGAACTAAAAGCTGAAAATTAAATTGGGATCATAAATATTTGGGAATTGGGGCTCTAGGCGACTATTTTAAGGGTCATTTGGAAGCCGATATACAAAATTAGACTTAATTACCAAAAAATACATAGCAAAAAATATTTTGTAAAAAATTCACTTAAGGTATAGATAGACTTAAATACCCTTTTATTGTAAATAAGTTTCCTAAAAACGATTTTTGAAACTAACCTCACATTTAATTATCTCCACATTACTTGATGTGTTTGTCTCTCGCGCCTCTTTATCTCCTATATATATATATATATATATATATATATATATATATATATATATACACTAATAATTGTCCGTGTCTGAAGACACGTAATAACAAAAAATTATTGTCGTCAATTAAAAGACATACCAAATAAAAGATAACTAAGGACATTGAGAAATGTATCTGAAGACACTTTTTTTTATACCTATCAACATACTTGCATCTAAAACTTCAAAATTAAGCATAAATTTCTATAAATTCATCTATTAGTGAATTTCCTATTCTCAATCAATCAACAAACACTAAAACCAAACTATGTAGTGTCATAGTTTGCACAAAACAACTTGTACAGAAGGTTACACAAAAAAAAAAAACTCTGGCAATGGTTACACAATGTTGATGTGAGCTATTGTTTTCAAGTTGATCAATCTCAACTTGTAAATTTCTTTGATGATTGTTTCACTGATGTCACAGACAAAGAAATTCCAACTATTTCCATTATTCCCAACATAAAATGAAAATCGAATAAATAATTCGTGCAAACACTCATGGACATGTATACAATCAAATCCTCAAATTAATAGGAATGAAAGAAACAAATGTGAATATATTTGTCTTTGGACCCATAAACAAAAAATGGAAAAAAATCAAAGACTCAATCCCATACAGTACCTAGGCCACCTTGAATAAGTGCACAATTGAACTGTTGTAGCTCGGAGCTTCAAACTTACCAAGGCTTCAATGGATTTTTGATTGGTCAAACTTGCAAAGAACAATTAAAACAGATATGTAGATGAGAGAGTTAGGAAAAATAAATTTCTGGTTAGGGAAGATGCTAACACAGTCAACCGCTGAGTGAATCGCCAAACAGTCGGCTAAGGGCTGGGCCGAAGTTCTTTTTCTTCTCTTTGACATTTTCTCAGTAATCTAGAAATCACCTCATGAAATACAACAAGAACATAATATATACGCAAACAAACATACACACTCTCATCAAACTGAATAGGTCAAATCAAGCAAAACAGAGAATCAAAAGTTTAGAACAAACCAATTCAAGAACTATTAAACAAACTAAAACTAATATTGAGCATCTTCATNTTAGTACATGATAGATGTTAACATTTGATAATCTAATTTAATCACTCATATTATGTTATTCATTCAGTGAACTTGGTTTCCAAAGTTGGGTTTTTAGTTAACCAAAATTGTTAACATACTGAAATATTTCAGAATGACCCGGAAGGAGAATAGATATTTTTCTCCCTAACTACACTTGGATTGAACAATATATAGAGGAGAGAAATAAAGAATAGCAAGCAGATTACTTTCCTGCTATATGTTACTATTGTTTTCTATATTTGAAAACAGTTATGGGTATCTCAGCAGCTGAAAGGATTAGGCTGTCAATGGATTAGATTCCAATGATCCGATCTGATTTTGATCCCATTATCTAGATATGCTCTGGGGTGTTAGGTTTTCACTGCTCGAATAGGATGTGGATCAGTTTATCTGATAACTGTAAGACTGTAGTTCCAATCCAATAATATTCTGATCCCATAATATTGAATAAATTCTTGATGGAATCGTGGTCTCAGACTGGCTTCTTTTTTTGGGTACTATATACTAGTTAGATCTACAGAAATCTTATGGTGATCTTAAAGCTGTACTCTTTAGGGGATTTGGTGTTCTATCAATTAGTCTCCCTGTTTTCTCTCTGTTCGTATCCTCCATGGAATCCGTAATACGCCATTTCGACAATTATTCTTGGGTAGCCGTGCTAGAGATCTGTGTGGCTTGCCATTGACTCTCTTACTCTTCCTAGCCTAAGCTCAACCTGTAGTTCAAAAATTTTTCAAAGATGCTCACTAAATAGGTGAGTTTGGGCCCTTCTTATTAGTTTTACCTGCCAAGCTGAAGCCTGCATAGAACTGCTTGCATTTTGTTCCTTTTGTATGATTCAGAGTTTGCTGTATCAGCTGTTTTGGTTAGGTTGATCTATAGCAGTGAAGGATTTTCAGTTATTTAAAGCAGCTTTATTTCTGAAAGAAATTCAGGCTGATCTCTAATAGTAAATTGTGGTATTTCTCGTTGTTTTAGAAGCTAACTTACGGAATTTTGGGCTTTCATTTTTTTTCCCCTAATGTTTGTGCTCTTTGCTGTCCAAGAATATAAATCCTTGTGTTCTTGTTTCTCCTCTAAGATTTCTGGGTCCCAAGTTTTAAAATTCTGACAACCATTTCTCCAGGTCATGAGCTTTTTTGCCAGTGCTCAACATGAGAAGGAAAGGCTTGAATATTTTGTCTCACCTGAAGGAAGGGATGATTTATACCAATACAACCAGAAGGAAAGAAGAACTGTTTTGGAGGTATCAAGATTATTAGTCTTCTTCTAACAGCCATAATATGGCTTAGCTTCATTCCCCACCATGTGCTAGATATCTGTCTGTGTTTTCTGGTTGTCTTTTTGTACTTCTGTTTAATTTTCCCTCACTTTGCCTGGGATGTGTGAGATATGTGATTCCACAAAGCACACAGCTCAGGCAATTTCAATCTTCATACAAGTGAAACTGTTTAGTTAAAATATATGTTCTATTTTTGTTTGTTCATAATAACTTCAATTTTGACAATGGGATTGGTCATATACTGATTACTTCCCTGAAAAATAATCAGAAATGTGCTGGATTTTCTCCAAGAATACTGACTTTAGTGTTCCCATAATTTTGCATGACCTGTCTCTCTTGACTGAGCAAAAGAATAACTTAAGTTGAAATGGAACATATTGGTTTTGGGATAAAGCAAAGAACATACGCAGTCCAGTCACATGCAAACAGGAAGTATTTGGTGCTTTGCTTCATCATAATCAAAATGTAGCGTTATCCCATTTCCTTTTTTCCCCAAAAGTAATTTCAAATTTCATTTGCTAAACCAAAATTCGTGAAATGTTGATTTCTTTCCTCGAGGTTTTGTGAAAAATAGTTTTAGGTATGGTCTAGCTTAATTGTTCACATTCTAGTGTTGTAAATGGTCCTGAGAAGATTTATTTAATTTTGTTTTTCTTTTACCCTCAATTGTTTTTATTTTTTATTTTTTTATTAGTGATTTTAGGGGGAGGACAAGTGAGTAGTGGCAATACTGGTGAGTTTTATGAGGGGAATGTGAGGATGCATGTGGAGGACTATTGGTGGTGGAAACCATCCACTTTTGGCCTATCTGTGATTAGGTGTTGTTTACCTTCTGATTTGATGAGGGGAAACAAAAAAGAAGAGAAAAAAGGGGGAGGGGGCCTTGTCATTTTCTCGGAGTGCTATCTGCATACTAAAGCTCCAAAGAAGGTGGTCACCTTTTGTTTGAACAGAGTTCTAGCCGGAGACAATACAAAAAGGAGAATCTGTAATGTTTTGTTCTATCATCTTTTAACCTGTTTTCCATTCTGTCCTCTCTTAAGTGAAGGGGCGTTGAATGAGCAATTCACCATTGAGGGCATTAACCTCAGAGGACAAACTTTGTGGTGTTCTAACAGCGGCAGGTCAAACAAGAAAGTGATGAATAAAATTCGCTGATGAAAAAAATTGCACTTTATCAAAGATTTGGGGGAGTCTGCGTGTCATCTTTATGCCGTTGCAGGGTTGCTAGTTGGCTTTAATGCCTAATCTTTGCTGTCTTTAAGATTCAATGGGAGATGCCCTCCAAACTTACAGATCTGTTAGGAAGGCATACTGACGGGCAAGAGGGAGAGGGCAAACAAAGGCTGGGGTGTTTGCCCCACTGGCTTGATGTGGAGCACTTTAAGAAGGAACGAGATGCCGCTGGTGGAGAGGAGAACCTTGTTTACGTATTAGAGATCGATGCTTGTGTGCTGGTTTTGTTTTTGGATAATATTTATTTACTTTTTTTGTATGTAATTGATTTTGTTTATTGATTGGACCCTTTCAATGATTTCCCTACTGGAAAATTAATTGAATAGATATTTTGCTTTTTGTACTGTAGGTATTGGACGATTTCCCATCAGTGCAATTGCCATTTGAATGGTTGGTGCAGCTGGTCCCTCCATTACAAACAAGGGCTTTCTCCATTTCTTCTTCTAATTTTGCCCACCCTAATCAAGTACACCTTACCGTAAAAGTGGTGTCGTGGACAACACCGTTTAAGAGGAAACGCACAGGTCTTTGCTCTGTGTGGCTAGCTGAACTTGATCCTCAACAAAGTATGAATTTCCGAAATCATAGGATATGAAATCTTTTTTAAATGAAACACCTGAATCTATAAATTCCCATCTATTAATGTTTCTAATTTCTATGCCTTAAGCAGGAGTTTATGTGCCAGCATGGTTTCGCAGGGGTTCTCTTCCCTCCCCACCACCATCTCTTCCTCTCATTCTCATTGCACCTGGGACTGGCTGTGCACCTTTTCGTGGATTTGTGGAGGAAAGAGCCTTGCAAAGTAAATTTGATTCAGTTGCCCCGGTGCTCTTCTTCTTTGGTTGTCAATATAAGGAGAACGACTTTTTATACAGTGATTTTTGGTTGTCTCATTCACAAAATGGTGGCGTCCTTGCTGAGGAGAAGGGCGGTGGCTTCTACGTTGCCTTCTCCAGGGACCAGCCGCAGAAGGTTTATGTGCAACATAAGATGCGGGAGCAGAGCACCAGATTGTGGAATTTGCTCAGTGAGGGGGCTGCTGTCTATGTTGCAGGTTCTGCAGACAAAATGCCCGCGGATGTATTGTCAACCGTGGAAGAAATTATTTCTAAAGAAAGTGGGGTTCCGAGGGAAGCTGCTGTGAGGTGGCTTAGGACGCTGGAAAAGGCCGGTAAGTACCATGTTGAAGCGTGGTCGTGACCTCTGCTCAAACCTTGTTTTCTAATGGCGAATCTTGTGGAGGAGAGTGCAAGCAGTGATTTTGAAATAGTTACTCAATGATGGATGATTTATTGTAGAGAAAAAAAATAAGAAAAATGTACTGGAAGAGATTGAGATTTTAGAATTTTTAATTGATCTTAAAAGACACTATTGGATTATAATTTAAGTTTCATTTGTATGATGGTACTCTTGATTAACAATGATAATTGCATTCTTAAATCCATTGATTCATAATTTTGGTGGATACGCTCCATTCATAATCAATGACGAGAATCTCGTATCTATTTTGATTAGGTATTTTTAAAAGGAATAAAAATCCAAAAATCAAGTTCTTTCTTGAAATTTAGATTATTCTTAAATAACAATTTTCTTCTCAAAATCAAGTTCTTTCGTAAAAATAATTATGAATTAAATATTAATTCTCATATTAAATCAACAAAATAACTAAACACGAAATATAAAAATACTATATTAGTTGAAATTCATATATTCCTTCTTTATGATGCTATTTGGTCGTTTTGAAAAATAGATGGATGAAAAAATGAGAGTAAAAGAAACATTTTCCATTGTTCGGTGATGGAGGAAAAGTGAGGGAAAAGGAAAAGTGTATAAGGCTTTCCATTGGATCGAACAATTTTTGATCCACCCAAATGTGAGTGAAAAATGGGAGAGAAAGGTTGGTTGCTAGATGTTGAATATGTTAAGAACAATGTTATTGAGACATAATTTGAGAAAATAATTTAGAGATTTAATGATTATGACTATTAGATTGTCAGTGAGTTCCACTACTANACAATGTTATTGAGACATAATTTGAGAAAATAATTTAGAGATTTAATGATTATGACTATTAGATTGTCAGTGAGTTCCACTACTACATTATTAGTGAGTCCTAACACTATCAATTCAATGGTCATTATGCATTAAGTTTCCAAATTATGTCACTAAATTGTATCTCAATTGCATTAGTGATNCTCTGTGATATATATTATTTATCTACAAAGAGATATAGTATTTGTTTGAATTATGTATTATCTAATATTTTCATGTGATACAGAGAAAGATACATAGGAAAATATTGTGAAAAATTAATACTTTTTGCGTGAATTGAGCGTGAAAGAAAGATACAGAGGAATGAGAGAGATATTTGCTTGATTTAAGGAAAAGATTTGAGGGAATTAAATTTTAGAATATCAATTTTAGAAATTATAAATTTTGAGCAGTAAAAAAAATTTAAAAGAGTTAATGTGGTACGTCAGATTAAAACGATCTGAGACGTCAATAGCTCAAGACAGTTTAGGATAACGTCGTTCGTTAAATGATACATTTTTTGGTCACGAAATGATCTAAACCACTCTTTGTCTTCAAATTTCATATTCGTTCTACTTTATTATATAAATATATATACACGCACACATATAGAGAGAGAGAGAGATAGAGAGAGAGGTATGAGTTCTAATAAAACAAAAACCTAAAATTTAAGAAAATTAAAATCTATAATAAATCCTCTCCATTTTTTTAGGGATATGTTTCAAAAATTTTGGAAAATTTTGAAACATGACAACTAAAATTAAGGAATTTTAATTATCTTATCTTAAAAGTACTAAAATTATATATATACACATAATACTACGAAATCCCAGTATGAAGGTTAGTTTCTATTACTCAAACACTGTATTGATACACTAATACAGTTTAAAGGGTTTATAAAATTAAAGTGTATCAATAAAATGTATCAAAACAGTGTACGAGTAATATAAATTAGAGTTTAAGAATTACATAAATTTAAAGTGTATTAATACAGTGTAGGAGTAATAGAAATTAAGTTACATAATGTGACTTCGTAATATTATATGTGTGTGTGTGTGTGTCTATATATATAAGAGATATGTTTAATAGCAAGGATAATGACAATAAAATTTAAAATTCAAAATGACTAAGATATATACAGTCAACATTAGATGTAAATTTTGTGATGATATAATTCTTCTATTATATTAGAAAATCTTTAATACAATAAAACAAAATCAAAATCAACTTAACAGCCAAAAAAATATACATGATTTAAGGAAGGACAAATATGTCAAAAAAAAATTATAAAAAGTGAAATTGTGTACTTGGACACAATTAAGTTCTAAAAATAAGGGCTTAATGACTTAACATTAAGAGTTATGTACTTTTTGACCAATAACTCTAACTTCGTATACTTCATTACAATTTTTCCTTATTTTAATAGTTAGGCCCTAGGGCTGGCATTGTTGTGGCTCATTCTATCCAAAGTATCGAAGTGTTTAAGCATCTCGTAACAATTGTAGTCTCTACTCGTCCATCACTGTTGAGTCTTTGTCCATGGATCTAATTAAGTAAGACAGATTGATTACTGAATGACACATAAGGATTATATGTAATATATGTGTTATTTTATATTTTATGCATTTTTTTAATTTGTCAAATTATGTGTAGATCATTATAAGGTACTGTCATAGTAAAAATATTCAATGTTACAACATGGTGTCACATAATTTTTTTTTTAGTAATTTAGGCATCTAAGATATATTAAACATTATATATGTGTTATTTAATACACATGCTATTTGCGTACAACTGTTAAATAGTATAATTCATAGGAATTGTAAATATATATAGATCATCGTCTTTTTGGGATACAATCCATTGTTTCATTACTGTTTTTATGGTGTTTTTATTTGTTTTGTATATTGTTCATAAAAATTGTAGTATTATATGATCGACTATCTGTATACATTTATAATTCATTGTTATTGAATTATTTTGCTATTTTTTTATGATCATTAACTTATTTATCTATGTAATATTCACATACTATTTTATTGTGTTTTATTTTTCCTAATAATGTGTATGTGCGAGGTAGATTACACTTTTAGACCTCATTATTGAACTCTATAATTTGGGCCTTTTAATATAGGGTTAATTGCATTAATGGTCCCTGAAGTTTGCAACTTATTAAACTTTCGTCCCTAAAGTCCCAATTAAGTCCTCAAAATTTGGGTTTTGAACCAAAGTTGTCCTTCTCTCTAACTGTTGTCCAAATCTCTGACAGAAAACAACTCGTGCACATCAAGTGGAGAAGACAGAAGAGCATCACTGTCTTTTCCCCTTACTTCCCGCCCATTCAACTACCTTCAGGTCACGTGCGATGCACGATTTGAAACATCAAATCATCACTTCAGATGATGGAAGAGAGACCATCTGTCATTTGTCTAGGGTTCTAGATGAAATTAAAGAAACTGGGGAAATTGGGTTTTGCAGCGCTGAAGTGCATCATCTTCGGGGAATTGAAGGTTGACAACGATGACTAGAAGGTTCAATGAGTATCAATTGGAGGACGATTGTTTTATTAAAGATTACAGTAAACATTTAGTGTTTTCAATTTGGGTTGAAGATGACGTTTTGCAAATTATTTTTTTTCAAAAAATCATATTATGGCAACTGGTTTCATGCAAAAAACTATGGATTTGAGTGTGTTTCATGCAACCCTAAAAAGGAACTAATATAAAATTGATGTTGATGTTATGTTGGTGTAGTAGGTCCTTTATGCACTTATATAAAATTCAGTAACATGTGGTCCCCCATTTTTTTGTTTTGTGTTGCAGAGAAAGATTCCAAATATTTTACTTTAATATTGCACCATAATGGTGAATTTCAAAAGAACCCAAAGATGGTTTATGAGGGGGGGCGGGTTGAATACTTCCAGCACGAGCACCTAGATTACATGTAATTGTTGGAGCTTGACGAAATGGCTAAGCAGTTAGGATACGAAGGGGAGATTCTAAGGTACCATTACTGTATACCAAGAAAGGACTTGGATTCTGGTTTAATTTGTTTGTTTTACGACACACAAGTTTCCACTGTCTTCAATTCATTGTAACCTAACACTGTTGCTGACATTTACATAGAACATCGAACAATTGAGGATATTATTGATGGCCAAGACTTCGTAGAAGATTATGTTGAAAAGAAACATTCAGTTGTAATTGAGGAGATTAATGAAGATGATGTAGAAGATAGTCAGATTATTGAAGTCCTCAAGATAGATTACTGTAATAGAAAAAATTTGCTAGAGTATTCTGAAGTCAATGCAATTGGTGATGCTGGAGGAGAAGAACAGAGAATGAATGGAGGAAAAGAACAGAGAGTCAATGAAGGAGATGACCAAAGAGTCAATGGAAGAGAGAATGACATGCCTCACGAGAGAACCAGGGAGTCAATGGAAAATGACATGCCTCACGACAGAAACAGGGAGTCAATCAGGGATAGTGACAGTTCTGATTATTCTGAGTTATATGATAGTTAATATGATCTTGATGAGGATGAAAGATTGTATGAGACAAACATGGATAAAGATGTTGCATGGGCTAGTGTAGGTGATAAGGGTAAGGGTGTGAAGGATGACACTTTAGCTTTTCATGGTACAAATGAAGATGATGTGCATTCCAACTATACTGATTTAGATGAATTATGTATTTTTGATGATTCATCTTCAGAGGATGATGATGTCAATGTGAGGAAGCCAAAGTTCCTTGAGTTTAGAGCTTCCACTGACATGAAAAACCCATCTTTCAAGGTAGGAATGTTGTTTGGAACAACTACTGAGTTCAAGATAGCAGTAAGGGAATATGTAATTACGGAGGAAAACAAATAATATTCAAGAAAAATGACCATGTTAGTGTTAGGGTAGTCTGTAAAGGGAAATGTAAGTGGTTGTTATTTGCATCTGTCATGGAAGATGGGAAAACATTTTAGGTTAAAACATTCAATGACAAGCACACATGTGGAATATCATTTCACAACAAGAATGCAAACTCAACTTGGATTGCTAATACATATGTGGATGAGATTAAGGGGAATCCTGCATGCCCAGTGGATGCCTTCATAGAGAGGATATAGAAGGATCATCAAATTACTGTAACACCTCATCAAATTTACAAAGCAAAAAGAAAGGGAAAGATAATGATTGAAGGTAGCCATGCAGAGCAGCACTCCAAATTATTTGAGTATGTTGAGGAGTTGCGGAGGACTAATCCAAACAGTACAATAGCTATAAAATTGGATGATTTGTTAGAGTTGGAAGGTGAGCCTAGGTTTGAAAGAATGTATATTTGTTTAGATGCACTAAAAAAGGGTTTCAAAGAGGCATGCAAACCAATATTATGTTTGGATGGTTGCCATTTAAAAGGTTCTCATGGTGGCCAGCTTCTCTCAACCGTGGGACTAGATGCCAATAACAATATATTCCCAGTAGCATGGTGTGTGGTAAAGATGAAACGAACAAGCACATGGTCATGGTTTCTGAACCTTCTGGTGCAAGACCTTCAAGTAAGAAACACAATTGGATGGACTATAATGCCTGATAAGCAAAAGGTACATTTACTGTTATCTTTTTTTTTTTTTTTTTATCTAGTCTACATTGAATACTATCATTGAACTGAATTGTATATGATATTGTGAATATAGGGGCTAGAACGTGCAATTTATGAACTGCTTCCAAATGTTGAATATATGCATTGTGTTAGATATTTATACAACAATTTCAACTAGAAGCACAAGGGTAAAACACTTAAGGATTTAGTTTGGGCTGCTGCAAGATCAAGTTATGTAAACTTGTTTAAAGTGAATATGAAAAAAATGAAAGCTGAATATGCAGAGGCATGTGCATGGTTTGATGATAAACATCCAAGGAATTGGTCTAGGTCACATTTTAGCACACATCCTAAATGTGACATTTTACTTAACAATATGTAGGAGTGCTTTAATGCTTACATACTTGGAGTTAGAAACAAACCAATCATATCAATGTTGGAGAGAGCCAACAAGGAAGGCGCAAGAACAGGGTCAAAGTGGAGTGACTGCTGTAGGAGCAAACACAGATGGAGTGATTGGTCTAGGAGCTGGTGCAACCAATGTTTCAAGTATGAGAGATAAGTTGGCTGTGAAGAGGAACAAAATGAATGCACCAGCCACAACACAAGACTCACATTCTGCAGGACGAGCTTAGTGACTACTGGTGGAATCCAAGAACTATTTTGTTAGGGTTTAATGTTCCCTATTTTGATAGTACCATCCTTTTGGTAGTGAACATGTTGAATGTAATAGCTTCTTAATGTTCCCTATTTTATGTACTGGCTAATGATAGCAACATCTTTTTGGTAGTGAACATGTTGGATAAATATTATGGTGTTTGTCGGATCACTTGATAACAAAACAAAGTTAGGGGACAAAATCGATACCAATTGCACTGACATACAAAATAGATATTAATATACAACTTGCCAATAAGATACACTTTATACATTAACAAAGTACAAAACTGACATCTTAGCAATTATAACACCCATAACCAGCAATTTTATTTCAAAATGACATCTGATCAAGTAAGTAGAGGCAAGTGAGTACATACAACAACATCCAAGTGAGTACAAGCAAGGGAGTACAACAACTTCATTTTTGTTAACAACCATAACCAATTAAGTACAAGCAACAACCACACAACTTTCTCTCTCTGTTGAGATCTTGTCCCTTCTAGCAGTGTGATTTTCCTGAATAATTCCGGAATAATATTCTTTGATTGCATACACATAGGAGGATCATGCCACACAAAATACTCACATCTGCCATTTCACTACATATTCCAACAAAAATAGGTTAAACAACATACTCACATCTGCCATTTCGCTGCATATTTCATAAAATTTACCTCATTTCTCTCACATTCAAGGAATCTTCTTCCTGAATTTAAATCTATCCAAGACGTTAACATTCGAGTCTTTCACCCACACTTGCAGTACGTTTGATCCATATGGATCTTGGGATAAAATATGGCTTCGCTCTGTGATGAATCTTGGCTTCGATTGCAACTTGTTTTCGTTTTGTGATGAAGCTTGCCTTGGTTCGCCCCCACTGAAATATATTAGGGTTCTTCAATCAAATATATAATGGGAGATAAGATGGTTGGATGGGTGGGAAATAAATGAAAAAGACAATGATGCCCTTCTGTCTTTTACACGTGTTGTTTTCCGTCAGAGATTTGGAGGGCAAGTAGGGAAAAGGATAGCTTTTGTTCAAAACCCAAATTTTGAGAACTCAATTGATTAATTGAGATTTTAGAAATGAAAATTTAATAAATTATAAACTTCAAGGACCATGAGTACAATTAATCCTCTAGGGCTTAAGCCCATACTTTTTTGAACCCTACAAGCGATAGCCCATGCTTTTAATATAGGGTAAATTGTAAGGGTTACATAAAATTAGATTTATTTGACAAAAAGTACACACTAAAAAATGTAAGGTTATTAAGTCTTTAATTTTGATACTTATTTGTATCTAAGTACACAATTTGAATTTGCCTAATTTTTTTGTGACATTTTTGTCCTTCATTGATCCATGTGTATGTTCTTTGGAAAGTGGTACATTAAATATCTCCTAATTTTATGGTAGAACTTTAGTATTTAATACACTTTGATTCATGTGTATTTGTTAATATATATATATATATATATATATACACACGTGTAAAGCGTAAAATGTAACATTGAAAGTATAAAGTGTAAAATATTATCTTATGTCTCACATTTTTTAATGGAAAGTGTAAAGTATTATAGGGTAATATTGAAAGTAACAATAACAGTGTAATAATAACAATGTAACAAGCTATTTACACAAAGTAAATGAAGACATTACCTAAAGTGTTACACAAACAGAATATACATGTCTCATCTTACACTAAAAATGCTAATTAATTGAGAAAGTGTTACACTTTCAATGTTAACAAATTAAAAATATTATATATATATATTTATATTTATATATGTATGTATTTATATACGTATATTGCATTTATATACATATATACAACTATATATATACGTATAAATATAAATATATGCATATATATATATACTTATTTATATGTATTTATATATACTTGTTTGTATATATATATTAACAAATATACATGAATTAATGTATAATAAATATTAAAGTTCTTCCATAAAACTAAAAGATATTTAAAATATTATTTTTTATATAGTGATTATTTATGTATTTGTATCTTACTAGTATACCTTTTCCTAAAATATTTTTTAATATATATTTTTTTGTCAAATAAGCCCGATCGGATACCGATTTCCAAAAACTATACTGTTGAGCCGGCCATGAACCCTACAAGTGCTATCTCTGCATTCCCAAAACCCTAAACCTCCCTCTCCCTGTGTCTCTCTCCTTAGAAAACAGAAGAAGCTTCATAGGCACTACCATGGCGAAGAAATCAAACCCTAAAAGCAGTAACAGTGTGAAAAAGAAGAAGACGAAGAACAAGTCAGGTCCAAACGCCGTAGCTATGAAAGTGAAGCCTCCCAAAGCAAACCCATTCGAAACCATTTGGTCTCGTCGCAAATTCGACATTCTCGGCAAGAAACGGAAAGGCGAAGAACGCCGTGTCGGCCTCGCTCGCTCTCTCGCCATCGAAAAGGCAGAAAAATAATCAACTTGTTCTCTCTCTCTTCACACACACACACACGTATGTTATTTGGGTTTGTTCATAGTTAGTATATATGTATGCGTATTGAATTGAGATGGAATGTGAATTGCAATTGCAGAGAAAGAAGACACTGTTGAAGGAGTATGAGCAGAGCGGAAAGTCTTCGGTTTTTGTGGATAAGAGAATTGGGGAGCAAAATGAGGAGCTTGGTGAGTTCGATAAGGCAATTTTGAGGTCTCAGCGTGAAAGACAGGTATCTTTTGGGGAATTTATGATTTCGTGAAAGAATTTGTTTGAATTATTGGCTGTTTTTTCAAACTTTTATATTATTAACATAACAAGAAGTAAGATCCTAGTATGTAATTGAGCTGCTTAACTTAGCTGAATTTTTTGATTTTTGCAAAGCAGAAACTAACCGTACTAAAAGGTGTTCAATTTTTTGTTTTGGATTGTTTATTTTCGTTCAATTTCTTGACAACAAGTTACCGCCAAGTCCGATTTCTGTGATTAATTCTTGTCAGCTATGCTTTCTCATGTTCTCGAGAAGTTTTTGATTTCTTGGAAAATTGGTTTCAATGTATTAGTTTTTTTCTTGTTCCCAGAAAAATGTATTGAAGTGGAACAAAATTTAAATGTTCAGTCTTTGATGGTCTGCAAGTATGGAGATTAAATAACATCACATATTACTGCCCGCTAAGAGTTGTTAAATTAGCTGAAAATTACATTTTGAAAAACAAAAGCAATGGCATGTACAAGAGCCAAAATTTTGATTATTTATGTTTCTTTGTTTTCTCAGTGAACAGATGTAGGGTTGAATATAATAGACGTGTTGTATGATCTTTTTGACACATATCTTCCTGTGTGAAAATTGGTTTTATACAGTTGAAATTAAAGAAGAAAAACAAGTATAATTTATCAGATGGAGAAGAAGATGAACTTGACATTCAAGGCCTTGGTTCATTTCCGGAAAGGGATGATTTTGAGGATGAAATACCATTTGGTGACTATGATGACGAGGAGGCAACTGAAAATGATAGTAAGTTTCATTCTTTATTATTTTGTATTGTTTGGGCTTCACCAGTGTTCTTTTCATTTTTTTGGAAAATCTCATAAGGATTGAAGTTAAACAATGTGAAGCTTAGTGTTGTGTTTTGTTTTATTTTATTTTATGGGGGGTAGGGGGTGGGACCAAGCAATTTGAAGCTTAGATTTGTCGTAATTGGTGACTTGAACAAGAAAAAGAGCCATGTTTAGCTCAATTGAACCTTTTCAAATTCTCAGCTTAATTGTGGTGGAATTATATGCTTATTAACATGGATGAAGAGCAAGATATAATCTTTCGTAAGAGTTTTTAGCTATGAAACAGAGGATGTGTATGTTTGATCACCTGATATTCAGAATCCTGAACTACAGTGCCCTTATTTGAGCATTGTAATCTTCCCAAAGAGTAACGTGTTTGAAAGCATTCCTATTTGCAAATCAATAGCCCTTTTCAGCTCCTGAAGATATAATTGCCTCATGCTGTATCTCTTTAATTGTTGAATTCTTGTCAAAACTGAGTCAATGAGCAGCTCCCAAAAACTTTTCTCTGCTTAACATTTACATACTATAGTACAGTTCAGAAAAGGAAAAGGGACATTTTTCTACCCGGTGGATTGCTGTAGGAATGATAGTCCACCCTTGCCTATTTCATTTTGGAGAACTTTCTCACAATATTTTAACCACACAATAAAATCTGCTTATGCTGAATATACACTAAAAGACTAAGAAAATTCCACAAATAACCTATCATTTGTTTCACATCTCTCTTTGTACGTAACACATGTATACAGATTTCCCATGTGTGCGAATTTTTTTATGCTCATACTAATTGAGAGGATCGTGTGGGTATTACTTGAGTTATTTCCTAAGGTTGTTTTTTGACGAGGCATTGTTTAAGAAGTCCTGATTTAAATTTGCTACATTTTAAATTGGTGAAATTGATGCCATTCATTAGGGAATCTGAGCGTACAAATTCATTATGTTTTGCAAGTAGGTGATCTGGGCTCTCAATATGGTGATTTTGATAGGCGTGGCAACAATTACAATTGCTTATGATTTGATTCCTTTTGTCTAAGCTTTTGCCATTAGTGTTAACGTGCTCTCCTTTTTCTTCACAGAGAGTTCTGCCCTATTGAAACAAATTAATGCCAATGGTACTCAGAATTCTCTGGAGGCGGGTTTGATGGAAGGAGAAGAAAATGTGAGATGCACATTAATTATGCACTATAATTGTGCATTATCTTGTCTGAGTAATTGTGCACTATAATTGCATTTGACTTTTTATCTGTTCTTGTTCATTTAAGTGTTGGTTTTCCGAGCAAGAATACATGGTGATGGCGGTGAACTTATGTTGGGTCTAATAACTCCCTTATTTACTTTTCAATCCTCATCTTGTCCTTTTGTTATTTTTTGGAATGGAAAAAAGGAAGGGAAAATGAGCAAAACTTTTCTGGCCTGCCATTCATGTGTTGAAATTGATTAATCAGAAAATTTATTCTCTTTTGCTGTTTGAGGATGTCCAAAGTTATTCTGCCTTTTCAATGTACTCTCCCTTATTGAATTTTGTGTATTTTATTCTGAAGTATTTATTTTAGCTCTAAATGATATCAAATTTTTCATGTCTTTTCAGAGTAAAATGCCTTCTTTCCCACTCTCATTTGTGTTGATATCATATCTATCAGAAGAAAATCAGCTGCATTGTATTTATTCTTTGGTTTTATTAAATGTAATGTGTGTAACTTCTATTTATGCGGATGTAAGTTTCTATGTTCCCCTTAGCGCTTGCATGAGAAAGTAGTATGCCTTCGCAGCTATCAAAAGCCCTATGATAAGGATGTTATTTGTTATTTTGACGCATCTTCAGATGCAACTGGTGAAAAGGCAGTTTGGTATGCTTTAAAACTTTCCTGGCTGATGCACTGAGTCAGTTATATCATCCATGCATTCTCACTTTTCCAGCTTGCCAAATCATGGACATCAGTGTTCCTTTGGTAATACATTTTTCTGACTCACAAATGGAGAGTCTGCATTCACTTAATCTGTGTAATTTTCTTTTTATTGGATTCTTTGCTATGAGGAATAAAATGTAGTCATGTTGGTAGTGACTAGACACATATCCTCATCATTAGGGAAGGCTGTCCTTTATTATCAGTGGTTAGAGAGTAGATGTTTGTTGCCTCTGATTCCAAGTTAATACCTTTCCTATTGCAGAGGCAGAAAAGTAAAAAGGAAGTGATGGAGGAGATTATTTCAAAGAGTAAATTCTTCAAGGTAGTGATTTCTTTTTGATTGTTGACACTGCTACGTCACTGAAAATGGTTCACTAACTTATGTGTATTTGTGTCCTCTTTTTTGGGTACATCAATTGCACTCTTATATCCTGTCAGGCTCAAAAAGCAAAAGATAAGGAGGAAAATGAACAGTTGATTGAGCAATTGGACAAAGACTTTACATCCTTAGTGCAGTCTGAGGCATTATTATCGTTAACCCAACCAAACAAGATGAATGCTTTAAAAGCTCTTGTGAACAAGAGCATCACACATGATAAAGTGAAGAAAGATGAGGTATCTGCTGCCCAGAACAAGGTTGCTTTCCGGCAGGTATGATTAGTTTAGGGATAAAGGTTGGAATCTGTTTTAACGTTTTTCCGGTTCTGTATTTTTATTATTTTTAACCTTGCTTGTGGCATGCCACGTCGCCCCTTGTAAGTTATTGGTCATTGGTTTTTATCCCCGGAGATATCAATAACTTATTGCCTTCATCTATTTATGTACACAATTTATGTTACATATAGAATGTAGATGGAAGTTATAAATCTGTTTTTTTTGGTTCCATAAAATCTAGATAAGTTGATCTTTGACATATCCATTCTGGCAGGAAAAACCTGATTCCTATGACAAACTTGTCAGTGAGATGATTTTAGATATGCGTGCACGCCCGTCAGACAGGACAAAGACACCTGAAGAGATTGCCCAAGAGGAGAAAGAGCGATTGGAACAATTGGAGGTATCTTTGTATGGAGATACAGATTATTTATGGTTGTTATTGCTACAGATGTATTTATTTGCTCTCTTCCCTCCTCTCCTCTCTCTCTAGGTTGAGGGAGAATGTTCTGCTTTTCTAATGAGTACTTTGATCACTCTATTTTTGTCGAACTCAATTAAATTGAAATGAACATTGCTTTAGTCTTATAATCTTTGGATTGGCTTCAAGGATTTTTCTGCCTCCTATTATGTATTTTTCTCAACCTTATTCTTTTGATTTCCCTTTTGTATGGTGGGTGCTTATTGTTATTAATATTGGAAGGTGATTTTCTTTATTATAATCATTTTCCCAGCATTATTTTGTTATGTGGATATGGGGGTGGTTACACAATTTTTGGTTGGTAATAGCGTTAGTCGTAAAAGAGTTTTTATTATTATCATTTTACCTGCAGTATTATGTAATTGTGTGTATTTGGGGGGTTGAATAAAAGTGTTTCACGGGCCATTGTAGTTGCAGATGTACTAGTTTTTATAATAAGTAGTTGCTGATGTAATCGATAGTTTCCTCTCAGTACCGTTCTTTTAAGTAATATTAGGAATTCATAGTTTACATTTGCAGCAGGCTGTTACTCACTTGTTAATATTTGCCATGGAGCTCTTCAATATACTGTAAAAATGTTTGATTTGAATTTTTTTTCTGATAGAAAATGAAATGAATGTAGCCAATACCTTTAATAATGAATTTTCATCTTTTGTCACTGGTTAAAAATTACTTTGAGAAATTCTTATTGAATAATCAGCAGTGGACTTGAACTTGTATATTTGTCCACAATTGCAGGAAGATCGTCGGAAGAGGATGCTTGCGACTGATGACTCAAGTGATGAAGATGGTGATGCTGCCAAGGATGATGATGCATCTACCCAACAGCCTAGATCCATTTCTGGGGATGATCTCGGTGACTCCTTCTCTCGTGATGAAGAGCCAAGAACCAAATTGGGGTGGATTGATGATATTTTGAAGAGAGAATACCAAAATGCTGTTCCGAGTGAAGACGGTGCTTCTTCGGAGGATTTAGAGGGTGGTGAAGATGATGGTGATGATGAAGAAACTGATGAGGATAGTGACAAATGTGAAAAGGCTGAGTCTTTGGGGGACTGGGAACAGAGTGATGATGAAAATCTTGACCCAGATAGGGAGGAGAAGGAAGGAGAGGAGGACGATGGGAGTTTTGATGAAGGGGAACCAAGGCTTAGAAAAGTACCAGAAATGAAAGGACAAAAAGATTTGTTAAATGAGAAGAAAATGAAAGCGGATATCAAGAAGCCTTCATTTCAACAAGGGGACCTTCCCTTTACAATTGAAGCTCCGAAAAGCTTGGAAGAATTATCATTATTGTTGGAGAACCGTTCTGATGATCAAATTATTGAAGCAATCAATCGCATTCGTGCGTTTAATGCAATTGCTGTTGCGGCGGAAAATCGGAAGAAAATGCAAGTATGAATCTTTTTGTTTCTTTGGATTTACTTTATGATTTTATTTTATCTTTAGATAGTGTATTACATTTATGTTATGCATAGGGGGACATAAATTTTTCCATGAATCTTAAGATGAAAGGGACCGGGAGTTGCTTTAACACAGCACAAATACATTGGTTGATATTGTGTCATTTGGATAACGTAGTTCCATACATCTGTTTGAAGGAGGAATAAATTCTTGAATGGCAAGGTTATAAAGGGGTTTCATTCCCTTGTTTATCTTTGATAATCAACTTATTAGGTCGTTTTTTGGATACTGTGGATCTTGCAGTTGCACATATGGGAGATTGGTTTACTTGGATGCCTAGACCTTTATTAGGGTACCTGAACTGAAACATACGTTGTTTTTTCAGGTCTTTTATGGTGTACTGTTGCAGTATTTCGCTATTTCTGCAAATAAAAAGCCCTTAAATTTCAAGCTGTTGAATTTGCTTGTCAAGCCATTAATGGAGATGAGTGCAGAGATTCCGTACTTTGCAGCCATATGTGCTCGTCAACGGCTACTTCGGATTCGAACACAGTTCTGCGAGGAACTTAAGAACACAGGTTGTCTCTAATGAGATTGATGACATTCTGCAGCATCTAACTTTAAATTATTCTGTTCTTTAGCCTTTTCTCTAATACAGGGGCCTTTTCTTGTCATTATTGTAGGGAAAAGCTGTTGGCCATCTTTGAAGACGCTGTTTCTGATGAGACTTTGGTCCATGATATTTCCGTGCTCTGACTTCCGTCATGCCGTCATGACCCCTACAATATTGTTGATGTGTGAATATCTGATGCGATGCCCTGTTATATCTGGCCGGGACATTGCGATTGGTTCCTTCTTATGCTCTATGGTTCTTTCTGTAAGTCTATGCAGGTTTCCTTCGATAAGGTTTTTCAAATGCAATGCAAAGTGTTCATGTTGCAGGAACCTTGCGTCTCCTACAAATGACAATTGTTGTTGTTGTTCTTCTTCTTTTGACACAGAGTAACAAACAACCTTTTGAGTGATGGATTTCAGTGCCAACTAGTTTTGTCTTCATTCTTTGTCTCATGCTAAACTCGATATTTTCGTCATCATCTAGGCAGTCTTTTCTTTTATTCTGTTTCTTGGTTGCTTTCACATGTTGCTCTCTGTTGTCACTGCTATCATTTTCCTTTATGCCTGTTAAACTCAGTGTTGTCATTTGTTTGTCTTAAAGTTAGAGACTCTATGAACTATGATCCTTAAACTTTTCTTAGATCACCCAGAGAACTGAAGTGTGTGGTAGCTGTTAGAATAGTTAATGTACATATTTATATTNTCATATTCCAGATAAATTACAAGATAATATAAGAGATGTTGTCCAGTTCGTAGAGAAGAAAGCTCATGAGAAACACATGCTGCGTCGACCGCTACAAATGCGGAAGCGTAAGCCAGTGCCCATTAAGTTAATAAACCCAAAGTTTGAGGAGAAGTAAACCCCCTTTCCCAATGGTTTTTTCTTTTGTATTGCGTGAGATATTGCCTTTCGAATAGAGGGGCTGAACTTTGCTGCTTAATAATGCATCTAATTCTGCAGCTTCGTGAAGGGAAGAGATTATGATCCAGATCGTGAACGAGCTGAGAGGAGAAAGTTGAAGAAAATCCTACAAAAGGAAGCTAAAGGTGCAGCTCGTGAACTGCGGAAAGATAATTATTTCTTGTTTGGGGTGAAAGAAAAGGATAAGGCAAAATTTGAAGAAGAAAGAACTGAGAAGTATGGGAAAGCAAGAGCTTTTCTCCAAGAACAAGAGCATGCATTCAAGTCTGGGCAATTGGGAAGAAGCAGGAAGAGGAGGAGATGAACCTGTCAATTTTCTGATACGATGGATTGTTCTCTCCCTCATCTGCGTGCTTTCTTATCGGGTAAGAGTCCGATATCACAATATTTTTAGTGAATATCTTTTGTTACTTTTTCAAGAAAACCTAGATTTCAATGAGTTGTTTTCCTTGTGGTATTGACTTCTTGTAGGATGAGTTGTTTTCAAAATTACTATTTAGTGCATAGGTTGGCTTGCACTGCTTGAGCTTGGCTGCTTTGTGTGACAAAGTATTTGGCAAACATAGGGCTTTTATTTTTTGATAGGAAACGAACCAAAAATAAAAGTGGAATTACATGAAAAGCGGTTGGATAAGAAATCCATCCACAAAAGAGCAAAAATACAAAGAAAAGCAAAACAAAAACGTCTATAGATTACATAAAGCTCGCCATCCTGATAAAATAACAGAGAGTAGGATTCCTTTGAAATCTTTAGACACTGATGCCCAAAATGACGAAACAAAGTGAATCCGATCCCATAATTCGTCCAACCACTCACACCAATCTTCAAAGATTTTTGCGTTCTTCTCTTTCCACAATTCCAAAGAGTGACACCAGACCTAAGTCCTTTCAAACATAGTGCTTTTCTTAAGGAGGTTTTGGACAGCTCATCACATCTTAATTCTGAAAACTCCTTTTTAAATTTCTAATGTGAAAAAGGATAAAATAAATGCTTCAGACAAACAATTAGGGGGCAGTCTCTTTAATTGTAATAGACTTGGAACATTATTACAGTATTCTTCCTCTAACTCTGTATGTGGTGCAGATGAGAAAAGTTTTGATTGTATGAACACTGTAACGTCCTGAACCCACTTTTTTAAAGAGTTTCTCGGGCCTCTCGGCATGTTAAGGTTCAATGATTACGTATATAGACCAACATCTTTTCTGTTTAGGCGAGATGGGATCAAGTACATGTTACATGGATTTGGCATCTTCTCCTTACCATAACTCACCTCACCTCAGCTCACCCAAATTGTCTTCAAGCCTTAGACTGGACCACCACAATTGACCTCCTTGAGTGAATCCTGTTGTGGAACCCAAGTAGTGCGAGGGAGGGGCAGCTCTGATATCATCTGTAACGCCCTGAAACCACTGTCAAAATACTGCCGCCTTTTTCTGCAGGATCACCTTTTGAAACCTGTCTTGACATGTCTATATATCTTCTCGTGTGCTCTTCCCAATTCCCAAATCAATATGCCACAATATTTTTTCTATGGAACTGTGAATCGTTTAATTACATTTTTATCACATTTGCTGGTTGTGTAGCTGCCAGTCAGCAGTTTTGCGTACTGTTATCTTATTATGCTAATAAAAGTGTTTCTTTTTTCAGGCATCCAAACAGCTACTTCCTTCCCAACATTGCCTCAACAAGTCGTTAAATTATAAAAGATGAATCATCAATTCAATATTGATGTCATTTCTGCCAAAGCTCGGAGCTTTTTGTAAGGCAGAGCTTCCATTTTTGGTCTGCATCATTGGCCGGAGAGTCTATTTTCTCCTAAGAATGTGGGTTTTAGCCGAAGAGACAAAGCTTACAGCACTTGCCAATCACCCACAACTCCTCATGTATTTGCTGACTCTGTAATATTCTTTAACTATGAAATATAAAAATATTCTTTAGTTCCATTTTGTAGAGTTTTTGCTTTCAATTTAGAACAGTGTGGAGCAGACAACTTGGTGTGTAGCTCAACTTTTAATTGCCTTATAATCCAATTCATATTGTCTATTATTGATTGGCTCTATAAGTCGTTAGTTTATAATAGGAATGACATTATTCAATATCTATGTAGGTTTCATAAATACCAAACAAAATATGTATGTATGTAGGTTTCATCCGGAGATACAAGCTCGTAGCACTTGCAATTAGGTCTTATAATGGATTGAATTTTGATTCGAATTAGAATTCGAATAGTTGGATACTAATTAATATTTTTTTATTGATAATTCGAACTTAAATTTGAATTTGATATATTATATTTTATGGATTTGAATTTGAATATATATATATATATATATATATATATATATATATATATATATATATATCTGATTATAATACGATTTGAATTGTTTATATATTTTTATATATATATTAATGAAATTAAGGGATTATTTAAAGAAATTTAATTGAAATTTATGTATAATTTGTTAAAATTTAGTTAATTAAGTTATTTTGATTAGATTGTATTTTTGGATTATTGACGGATTCGGATATATATTTTTTAATTAATACTTGTAGATTATTATTCAATTAAAATTAATGACCAAGATTGATGGAGGCACGGTATGGAGACACCACAGCCTTACCCATTAATTATACACAAACATGAAGTGAAAGAAGGAAAATAATGCAGATTCAATGGAGGTTGAGAAATCAACCCAAAAACTGTGGATGATTTCCGGCCGATTGGCTTGTGCATGGAGAGAGAGAGAGAGAGAGAGAGAGTGAGTGACGTGTGGTCTTGGCTTAACCATAAGATTTATTAATTGTAAGCAAAGCGTCATACATTCGGGTCTTAATAACAGTCTTTACTTAAACTCATCAATATAAAAGTGAAGTATTGTTCACTGTGCTGATAGACTAAGAAAAAAGAAAGACTAGATATCCTTTGTATTTTGTAGGAAGTATTACTACAGCATGTGCAGATTCACTAAGATGCTCGATTTGTTTCTTGGGAGGTGTCGTTTTCTTCGGTTGCTCCCACCCCGGCATAATGCTTCGCTTCCGGTTCTTCGGAAGAATCAAATGAATTACTCTATAATTATAAAGAAAGACTTGATCTGCTTTGTATTTGTGTATCAAGTAATACAAGAGTTGTGCCGCTTGGCCAATTCTATTAAGATAGACTGGATTGATCTGCTTTGAATTTTGGTGTAAATTATTACAAATTGTGCAATTTGACTAAGAATAAAGAAAGACTAGATCTGCTTTGTGTTTTGTATAAATTACAACAGGCTATGCTATGTGTGGCCATTGAGTTGAAGCAATTATCAGCATTTGGTTGCTCCAAGCCCACATAAAAATCATAGAGAGAGAGAGTTTCATCTTCTGTGCAGTTCTAGCGATCTGCGGTATCTGCATCGGATGTTGTTTTGGTGGAGTGGGAGTAGTCCAAAAGATGAAAGCTCGCTATTGTTTTCCATTTTTCGCCCCCAAGTCTTACGACTGCAACCTCCTTTCAAATTCTAGTGTTGAACCCGTCTAAACTTTCAATGTTCTTACAATAATGTTATTTGAGATTAATTTATCAACCTAATTTATTATCAATTCAATGACAACAATGGATTAGGTTGTCACTTGTCAAATTAGATTCGATTCGATTCTAGTAACANTTGAATATATATATATATATATATATATATATATATATATATATATATATATATCTGATTATAATACGATTTGAATTGTTTATATATTTTTATATATATATTAATGAAATTAAGGGATTATTTAAAGAAATTTAATTGAAATTTATGTATAATTTGTTAAAATTTAGTTAATTAAGTTATTTTGATTAGATTGTATTTTTGGATTATTGACGGATTCGGATATATATTTTTTAATTAATACTTGTAGATTATTATTCAATTAAAATTAATGACCAAGATTGATGGAGGCACGGTATGGAGACACCACAGCCTTACCCATTAATTATACACAAACATGAAGTGAAAGAAGGAAAATAATGCAGATTCAATGGAGGTTGAGAAATCAACCCAAAAACTGTGGATGATTTCCGGCCGATTGGCTTGTGCATGGAGAGAGAGAGAGAGAGAGAGAGAGTGAGTGACGTGTGGTCTTGGCTTAACCATAAGATTTATTAATTGTAAGCAAAGCGTCATACATTCGGGTCTTAATAACAGTCTTTACTTAAACTCATCAATATAAAAGTGAAGTATTGTTCACTGTGCTGATAGACTAAGAAAAAAGAAAGACTAGATATCCTTTGTATTTTGTAGGAAGTATTACTACAGCATGTGCAGATTCACTAAGATGCTCGATTTGTTTCTTGGGAGGTGTCGTTTTCTTCGGTTGCTCCCACCCCGGCATAATGCTTCGCTTCCGGTTCTTCGGAAGAATCAAATGAATTACTCTATAATTATAAAGAAAGACTTGATCTGCTTTGTATTTGTGTATCAAGTAATACAAGAGTTGTGCCGCTTGGCCAATTCTATTAAGATAGACTGGATTGATCTGCTTTGAATTTTGGTGTAAATTATTACAAATTGTGCAATTTGACTAAGAATAAAGAAAGACTAGATCTGCTTTGTGTTTTGTATAAATTACAACAGGCTATGCTATGTGTGGCCATTGAGTTGAAGCAATTATCAGCATTTGGTTGCTCCAAGCCCACATAAAAATCATAGAGAGAGAGAGTTTCATCTTCTGTGCAGTTCTAGCGATCTGCGGTATCTGCATCGGATGTTGTTTTGGTGGAGTGGGAGTAGTCCAAAAGATGAAAGCTCGCTATTGTTTTCCATTTTTCGCCCCCAAGTCTTACGACTGCAACCTCCTTTCAAATTCTAGTGTTGAACCCGTCTAAACTTTCAATGTTCTTACAATAATGTTATTTGAGATTAATTTATCAACCTAATTTATTATCAATTCAATGACAACAATGGATTAGGTTGTCACTTGTCAAATTAGATTCGATTCGATTCTAGTAACATTGTTGCTCATATTATTATTAAGATATGCCTGTAAATTCCAGCTTTGGCAAGTTTTCCCTTTCCTCCAACAATAAACTGTGACAACTAAGGGTCGTTTGTGGCTGTTGAGATGCTGTCTAGATTTAAATTTCAATGTATGTTTAATTGATTGATTTTCTGTGTCTAATAGTAGACATATAAGTTTTTTTTTTCATATAATTTCTCAAATTTGATGTTTAATTCAAATTATTTTTGTGGAGAAAATATGGTATAATAGCAGAGGCAATAATAAATTGATCGGTATCATATTTTACTACAAGATTTAACCACAGA